ATCACACCTGTGACATCATAGATACACCTGGGATATCACAGACACACACACACAGCGGTACCTGCTGCAGAGGGGGGGGTGCGCCTACAGCCAGGTACGGACACACCTGTGTGACGTCATCACGCACCTGTGTGACGTCATAGACACACCTGGGATATCATAGATACACCTGGTATATCACACACACACAGCGGTACCTGCTGCAGCGGGGGGGGTGCGCGTATAGCCAGGTATGGATACACCTGTGTGACGTCATCATGCACATGTGACATCATAGATACACACACACCCACACAGCGGTACCTGCTGCAGAGGGGGGGGTGCGCCTACAGCCAGGTATGGACACACCTGTGTGACGTCATAGATACACCTGGGATATCATACATACACCTGTGATACACCTGTGGCATCATAGATACACCTGGGATATCACACACACACACACACACACACAGAGCGGTACCTGCTGCAGCGGGGGGGGTGTGCCTACAGCCAGGTAATGACACACCTGAGTGACGTCATAGATACACCTGTGACATCATAGATACACCTGGGGCATCATAGACACACACACACACAGAGCGGTACCTGCTGCAGCAGGGGGGGTGTGCCTACAGCCAGGTATGGACACCTGTGTGACATCATAGCACACCTGGGATACACCTGTGACATCATAGATACACCTGGGATACACCTGGGATATCACACACACACACAGCGGTACCTGCTGCAGCGGGGGGGGTGCGCGTATAGCCAGGTATGGACACACCTGTGTGATGTCATCATGCACCTGTGACATCATAGCACACCTGTGACATCATAGATACACCTGGGATATCACACACACACACAGCGGTACCTGCTGCAGAGGGGGGGGTGTGCCTACAGCCAGGTACGGACACACCTGTGTGACACCTGAGTGATGTCATAGATACACCTGTGACATCATAGACACACCTGTGATACACCTGTGACATCATAGATACACACACACACACACAGAGCGGTACCTGCTGCAGCGGGGGGGGTGCGCGTACAGCCAGGTACGGACACACCTGAGTGACGTCATAGATACACCTGTGTGACGTCATAGACACACCTGGGATACACCTGTGACATCATAGATACACCTGGGATATCACACACACACACCTGGGATATCACACACACACACACACACAGAGCGGTACCTGCTGCAGAGGGGGGGGTGCGCGTACAGCCAGGTATGGACACACCTGAGTGACGTNTTTTTACCCATTTTTTGTGGTTTTCACCCCGTTTTTTTGCCCCTTTGCCCCCAGTGGACAACCTGGACCCCAATTTCCAGAGCGACGCTCAGAGCAAGCGCTCGGCGCTGCACGCGGCTGCGCAGAAGGGACACCTGGAGATCTGTCACCTGTTGATACAGGTAATGACACACCTGTGACACACCTGACACACCTGTATGACACACCTGTATGACCATTGACACACCTGAGTGACACCTGACACACCTGTGATACACCTGGGATACACCTGAGTGACACCTGAGTGACCAGTGACATCCCAGTGTCCCCCAGTACAGCCCAAAGGGACACCTGGAGATCTGTCACCTGCTGCTACAGGTGAGATACACCTGTGTGACACACCTGTGTGACCATTGACACACCTGGGGCACACCTGAGTGACCATTGACACACCAGTGCCATCCCAGTATGGGATCTGTGCCCCCCAGTACAGCCCAAAGGGACACCTGGAGATCTGTCACCTGCTGTTACAGGTGAGTGACACACCTGTGACACACCTGTGTGACACACCTGTGTGACCATTGACACACCTGTGACACACCTGTGACACACCTGTGATACACCTGGGATACACCTGAGTGACACCTGAGTGACACCTGAGTGACCAGTGACATCCCAGTGTCCCCCAGTGCAGCCCAAAGGGACACCTGGAGATCTGTCACCTGCTGCTACAGGTGAGATACACCTGGGACACACCTGTGACACACCTGTGACACCTGTGATACACCTGAGTGACACCTGACACACCTGTGATACACCTGTGACATCCCAGTGTCCCCAGTGCAGCCCAAAGGGACACCTGGAGATCTGTCACCTGCTGCTGCAGGTGAGTGACACACCTGTGACACACCTGTGTGACCATTGACACACCTGGGACACACCTGGGACACACCTGGGGCACACCTGAGTGACACCTGAGTGACCAGTGACACCAGCACAGGGCTCCCAGTGACATCCCAGTGTGGGATCCCAGTGTCCCCAGTGTCCCTTTACCTGGTCACTCAGGGCTCAGTGGTCACTCGGCTCAGTGGTCACTCTGTGGTCACTCAATGGTCACTCAGGGGTCAGTAATGGTCAGTTATGGTCAGTGGTCACTCAGGGGTCACTCAATGGTCACTCAGGGGTCAGTAATGGTCAGTAATGGTCACTGGTCACTCACCGGTCACTCATTGGTCACTCAGGCCAGAGCCAACATCAATGCTGTGGACAAGCAGCGCCGGGGGGGTGGATGGTGATGGTCAGTGATGGTCAGTGGTCACTCAGGGGTCAGTAATGGTCAGTTACGGTCAGTGGTCACTCATGGGTCACTCGGGGGTCAGTAATGGTCAGTGATGGTCAGTGGTCACTCAGGGGTCAGTAATGGTCAGTGATGGTCAGTGGTCACTCATTGGTCACTCTGTGGTCACTCTCAGGCTGGAGCCAACATCAACGCCGTGGACAAGCAGTGCCGGGGGGGATCATAGGTGGTCAGTTATGGTCAGTGGTCACTCATTGGTCACTCTGGTCACTCCCAGGCCGGAGCCAACATCAACGCCGTGGACAAGCAGCGCCGGGGGGTGGATGGTCAGTGCTGACCATAGATGGTCAGTGATGGTCAGTGGTCACTCATTGGTCACTCAGGGGTCAGTGATGGTCAGTGATGGTCAGTGGTCACTCATTGGTCACTCTGGTCACTCAGGCCGGAGCCAACATCAATGCTGTGGACAAGCAGCGCCGGGGGGGTGGATGGTCAGTGTTGACCATAGATGGTCAGTGATGGTCAGTGGTCACTCACTGGTCACACTGTGGTCACTCAGGCCGGAGCCAACATCAACGCCGTGGACAAGCAGCGCCAGGGGGGTGGATGGTCAGTGCTGACCATGGGTGGTCAGTAATGGTCAGTAATGATCAGTGGTCACTCATTGGTCACTCATTGGTCACTCAGGCCGGAACCAACATCAATGCCGTGGACAAGCAGCGCCGGGGGGGATCATGGGGGGTCAGTGGTCACTCAGGGGTCACTCAGGGGTCAGTGGTCACTCACCGGTCACTCATTGGTCACTCAGGCCGGAGCCAACATCAACGCCGTGGACAAGCAGTGCCGGGGGGTGGATGGTCAGTGCTGACCATGGGTGGTCAGTTATGGTCAGTGGTCACTCACTGGTCACTCACCGGTCACTCATTGGTCACTCAGGCCGGAGCCAACATCAACGCCGTGGACAAGCAGCGCCGGGGGGTGGATGGTCAATGCTGACTATGGGTGGTCAGTAATGGTCAGTGGTCACTCAGGGGTCAGTGGTCACTCACCGGTCACTCATTGGTCACTCAGGCCGGAGCCAACATCAACGCCGTGGACAAGCAGCGCCGGGGGGTGGATGGTCAGTGCTGACCATAGATGATCAATAATGGTCAGTAATGGTCAGTGGTCACTCACCGGTCACTCTGATGTCC